TATAATTCTGTTGTAAGCTTTCACGCGTGCGAAGGGGGCCAGTGGTGGCGGCATTAAATTCTTTGGTCACTTCCTTCCAAGCTTTCTGTTTCTGTAGGATAGTAGCTCCGTCACATTTTTTTATCTCAATAAAATGTTTGTATTTATTTAAAAGTTCACAAAGTAGCAAATTATCAATACTTGTGAAATTCGGTGAACGCAAACGAGTCTTCTTTTCCATTAGAGACATATTAAAATAAGAAATAAAACATATCTTAATCTAATACAATCTAACACGCAGAGTAATTACCACAATGTTTATTTGTATTTTCCCAAAACAAACAAAAGTCAAAAAGCAACAGACGGCGGCGCCACAGACTCACACAGACTTCTATCAGACCTGTCCTGGACCTGTGAGTTAGGGATGTGCGATCCGGCTCGTCGATCTGATTTTTCGGATCGTAATGGATCGTAATGCCACGACTCGATCCGTGGATCGGATCGCATGCCGTCGATCCGAGCTTCAAGAAATCGGATCGGATCGGATACAATAAGTAAGGCAATTAATTTTAGATTTTTGTTTGGTAAACCCTTCAAAGTATGTAAAACTTGTGAACAAACAAGGTTGCTCTATGTAAAACTTATAAACTCTGTAAAACTTATAAATAAACAAGTACTTAGTTTTGAAAGAAACACAATGTGAAATAGTAATTTAAGTACACAGAGAACTTAAAATTAAAAAAAAATAGACTTTTTTTTTGATTTATAAGAAATGAGCCCAACTACTTACTAATAGTTAAAGTACAATTGAATCAGTCATTTCAAAAACCTCATTCAAGTCACACTATTAGAGTTATTCAGGAACTAATAAAAACTGGTTCATGTTCAAACAATCGAGTTTAATAGAACTTTTTTACGCTTACTTTTACTATTTGAGTTGTAAAAAATTCAAATATCCAAGAACTTTTACTGTTCATAAATAATAATAATGAAAAAAACAAGAAAATTTATTCTTGACTTATGTGGTTTTAGCAAGAAATAGATTTAGTGGTATATATATAAATTTACCCACAACTTTTGTTTATAATAACAGAATGTATAATATTAACGGATCCACCTGTAAAGAATGCCGCCAAGTTAAAATGTACCTAAACAAAGATAAAGTTCGTAACAGAAACCTTAGTAAGTACCTACCCAATTTATTATAAACAAACCGCGTTTTAATTCATACGATCCAAGCGATCCGATCTTTCAAGTTTTGTATCTATCCGGCAAAAAATCGTATGACCTCGATCCGATCCGAAAATCACCGGATCGTATGCCTTCCGATCCGATCTTTCAAAGGATCGGATCAGATCGGCGCATCCCTACTGTGAGTCTGTCTGTGAGCATTGAGCGAATTGGTTATTCAGTGTTGCCATCTGCTAAACCAAAATATCCGAAGCGCGGAGTATAAATGTGTATAAAATCTGTATGCTTGAATTTAAGCCCAATAAACTTGCGGCAGGTAGTTAAGTAAATAACTTAGTTATTGAGAAATAGAAAAAAGTAGATGTATCAAATAAATTTACAAGTAATTAAGAATATTTTTATTAATTTTGCAAATTAACTCACATGTCTATTAGAAGTAATAACATGTGTTCTACTACTTCATTTAAAGTAGTACAACGACATTTTAATCGTTATAATCACAATTAAACTGAACATTCGAATAATGAACAAACACCCACATAACGAACTTCAATACGTATTGCGAGTAAAATTTAAAATGTTCTGTTCAACTCGCAACGAATATAATAGGCTAGTTTACTCATGTCAAATTGTATTAAATAAATGTTTATTTCTTAAAGTATTTAGTCTAAGGAACCTTAATATATCGATTTCACTTCATAAAAGCAGAAGATTGCTGTAGAAATTTAATTTTAAAAAATATTTTTTAGTCTATATTTTTTAAACACTAAAAACGCTGTTCGCCACATCCGCCATGATTTTGACGTCTCTTCTGGTAAACAACTAAATGTCATTCGCGTGTTACTGTAGGTGGATTCTTTCGTCTGACTAAATTTATCATAAAACACTTTTAACTTTAGGAAAGAAAAAAACAGTAAACTTAGTTTTTTTTTGACAAAACTAATTATGGATGCCGGCTTTGTGAAAGCAGAAAGCACAAATTTGACGCATTGATGGTTGGTGAATTTGTTGCACTAAACCCCGATTTCTGCTCTGCGGAGCAGAGAAACGACAAGGCATCTATGTAAGTACAGTGCATTTAGTATTACAATGTAGTAATAAACATAAAACTGATACAACATATGAATAAGTGTAATAAAGTTGCGTAGGTTAATTTCTTTCGGCACTTTAATCGACAACTTTCCTGGAGTCTTCAAGGATGTGTTTTTATATTCTCGTACAATACAGTAATGATAATTACTTTATTTTTCGTGGTATTTATTAGAAATCATGTTTTTGTTTATTATAAACTCAGTTAAAAGTAATTTTCTACGTGTTTACGAGTTTTTGTTTACGACAGTTCACGTCATAGCATAGATAATCTATAGACTAAAATGGCCGACAGCGTTTTTGTATGTCCATGAAAAGTCTATATTAAAATTAAAGATTTGTAGCTTTCTAGGTTAAAAAAAAATACAATACATTTTTTTTCGGTCTAATAGAACATTAATTAACCATTTAAAACCTTTTTCCAAAAAGGGTCAACTAGTCTATTCGTGGCGAGTGAATGTATTCGCATCGAATAGTCTGTCACGGAACGAATAGTGGCGGCAAGTAGGCATTCGCAGGGAGTAGCGCCTCTATTCGAAGCTAATGCACTCGCAGCGAGTGTTCGCTGTGTGTGACTGTGGCTAAATAATCAATCCAAAATCTCAACGAAGCATACGTTTGACGTAAATGGCTTCCAATAGGCTAGTTGACTCATGTGGATTTGTATTAAATAAATATTTATTTCTTAAAGTATTTGGTCTAAGGAACCTAAATATATCGATTTCACTTCATAAAAGCAGAAGATTGCTGTAGAAATTTAATTTAAAAAAATATTTTTTAGTCTATATTTTTAAACACTAAAAACGTTGTTCGCCACATCCGCCATGATTGTGACGTCTCTTATGGTAAACAACTAAATGTCATTCGCGTCTGTGGGTGGATTCTTTGGGTGCGGCCAGAGTGCACTCAGATTCAGATTCAGATTCAGATTCTGAAAACAAGCGCGAGAAATAAACAGTGTAGTCTAAGCAGGTTGCCTGCTTTTTCTCGCGCTTTGTTTTCTGAGTCTGAATCTGAATCAGGAGTGCACTCTGGCCATAGGGTGCGGCCAGAGTGCACTCAGATTCAGATTCAGATTCAGATTTCGAAAACAAGCGCGAGAAATAAACAGTGTAGTCGAAGGGTACGGGTGCGGCCAGAGTGCACTCAGATTCAGAGTCAGATTCAGATTCTGAAAACAAGCGCGAGAAATAAACAGTGTAGTCTAAGCAGGTTGCCTGCTTTTTCTCGCGCTTTGTTTTCTGAGTCTGAATCTGAATCTAAATCAGGAGTGCAATCTGGCCGTACCCTTCGACTACACTGTTTATTTCTCGCGCTTGTTTTCGAAATCTGAATCTGAATCTGAATCTGAGTGCACTCTGGCCGCACCCTAAGGCCAGATTGCACTCCTGATTCAGATTCAGATTCAGACTCAGAAAACAAAGCGCGAGAAAAAGCAGGCAACCTGCTTAGACTACACTGTTTATTTCTCGCGCTTGTTTTCGAAATCTGAATCTGAGTCTGAATCTGAGTGCACTCTGGCCGCACCCATACCCTTCGACTACACTGTTTATTTCTCGCGCTTGTTTTCGGAATCTGAATCTGAATCTGAGTGCACTCTGGCCGCACCCTTTCGTCTGGCTAAATTTATCTTATAACACTTTTAACTTTAGAAAAGTTTCCGTTTACTGTTTTATTTTTTATGAAAACAGAAAGCACAAATCTGCCAAGAATTGACGCATTGATGGTTGGTGAATTTATTGCACTAAACCCCGATTTCAGAGAAACGACAAGGCATCTGTGTAAGTACAGTGTATTTAGTATTACAATGTAGTAATAAACATAAAACTGATACAACATATGAATAAGTGTAATAAAGTTGCGTAGGTTAATTTCTTTCGGCACTTTAATCCACAACTTTCCTGGAGTCTTCAAGGATGTGTTTTATATTCTCGTACAATACAATAATGATAATTACTTTATTTTTCGTGGTATTTATTAGAAATCATGTTCTTTTTTATTATAAACTCAGTTAAGTTATTTTCTACGTGTTTACGAGTTTTTGTTTACTGCAGTTAACGTCATAGCATAGATAATCTATAGACTAAAATTGCCGACAGCGTTTTTGTATGTCCATGAAAAATCTATTTTAAAATTAAAGATTTGTAGCTTTTTAGGTCTCAAAAAAATACCAGACATTTTTTTTTCGGTCTAATAGAACATTTATTAACCATTTAAAACCTTTTTCCAAAAAGGGTCAACTAGCCTTCGTACATTCTAATGTCGATAATGTCGAGCCGCGGAATTGGGAGCCATGTCAAGCCATGTACATGAATTCCATGGCCGTACATTATCGGGTCAGGCATTACTGATACGAGCTGTTATGGTATAGCCCCGGAAAGCACAGCCAGGAATGTACGACATGGAATTGGAAGCCATGTGCATGAATTCCATGGCCGGGCATCTGTGGCCGTGCTTTGTCAGGCTCCGTAGTTGGTATATTTACCTTTCTCTATGCTCCGTAGTCACACGTCACCGTCGACGTATAAAAGCACGTTCAAAGTTTTGTTAAAAATACAAAATATTTTTACCAGTAATATTAAAGTAATTATATCCATTTCTCGTAATATCTTTTTTAACAAATTCAGTAATCAAATAATTCCTTTAAATCATTGGTTTACCCTCAAACTTATTCAAAGAGATGTATTATTGAAAACCTTTCTCTAAATCTCTAGCTTTTGCACGAACTTTACTGACATGACGTGACATTTGTACGTGGATCAGCGGGTGGCATCGTCTCCGAAAAGATTAGTGTTTAATTTATTTCTAATTTCAATTGTCACAAATTTAAAAAGACTGCAAAATGGTCACAAAATATTTTATTTGCTTCACCATTATTTCTTTAAGCGGAGCCTTCGCGCAGAGCTGCGAAAATCCCCAAGTGGAAGCTGCTTCGTTCACCAGTTTAGATGCCACAGTTGTAACACAAATAGCCTATATTACTGAGTTTACTCTTAAATGCAGCAATCCTCTACCAGCAAATTACGCCCTGTACGCCGAGGTTGATGGAAAATCTTTGACAGCAGCGCGTGTCGGCGAAAACAGATACCAGGTCAGATCTTAAGTTTCAAGTACTAAATTAAATCTTTATGAATGAAAACTACAAAGTAAATCACTATAGACTTCCTTTTGTGCTTCAATGATATGCACATGTCATTTTTACCAGCCAATCTTTAGTAACAGCATAATAAAATTTAAACCGTATCTCTTGTTGTTCATTTGAACAGACAGTATAGAAGAAGAAGAACTTAAATATGGATATGTAACCCAACCCATGTTTATGTTAAATCGGTAGAATGATAATAAGATTTCATATTTGTTTCTTAAGTTATCATGCACATTACTCATTAAATGAAACAAATATTAACGGGCTAAATGCATTAATTCATTTGTTCTTAGATGTTTCACATCCTTTTCAGGCTAATAACATCAAAGTACAAACTAATTGATGCAGTTAATTTGTTAAAGCTTGTTTTATTTCAAAAGATTTCGAATCAAAATTTGAAAGTTCATTATTATAATAAATTCAATTCATACCCCTTTTTGAAATCGGAATGATTGATACAAAAATAAAATACAGTTTTATTTCCGATAACAATTGTCATTTTTCCTTTGATTGTAGAGTTGATATACATTGCATCGCTACATTGCTTATTTGTTCTGTCTAACATTATCCAAATTTTACAGGAGAACAGTTTTTATTTTAATAATAAATAAAAAGCTTTAGTTTTAAGATTTTAATGCTTTTTATAATACATAACTGTTGCATTTTTCATTTATAGATGGTAATAAATTCTACCTTATTTTACGGTTTGTTCGTGGAGATGTGGAACAGAGATGGGCTAAACTGTACTTCCAGGGCCCAAGTGGTGATACTTCACACTAAGTTAGGTTAGGTTAGTGTTGTCACCATAACGCGCGAGCCGCGCTAGCGGCTGGGGAAGCGCCAGAATAAAATATTTTTTAAAAGAAACCTTTACTACTAAAAAGTTCGAGTATCACCTCTGGGCTCTGGAAGTACAGTTTTACCCAGAGATGCACAAATAAAATATTTCTGATGTGAACTTGGAACTTTAACACATTGGTGATGGAACAAAGTGACTGTTTAATATTTGAATACTTATTTGTTCTTGTGATTAGAATCTAGTAAAACTGTTTAACTTAGTTTCTAAAAATAAGTAAAGTAGGTACCAAAGTTATTAAATTAAATGCATATTCCCTATTACCAATATTTAAAAAATATATTTCAGGTGTCATGGACAGAAGAGCCTGCAAAGGCCCGTTCAGGTGTCCACGAAGTACGTATCCTGGACGAAGAAGGTTTCGCCTCTCTGCGCCGCGCTCGCCGCTCCGACCCCGCTGCGACTGTAGCACCGCTGTTAGCTATCCAGCTGCAGCACCCGGGAAGTGAGTATCATCATTATTAATGATCTTACTGCTAATCTGTTGTGTTCGTAGACTTAGTATTTTAAGATTCACAGAGAGAAGAAAAGAGATTTCATACCCATACGACAATCCTACAAGGTAGAAAGAGACTTAACATGATTTATTTTATTTATTTATTTTATTTATTTATTTATTTATTCTAATTACTACGGCAAAATACCATTTAACAGCAATTAGTAAAAAAAAAAAAAGAAAACAAAGAATTACAAACATGAAGATTCACACTCATTTTTCTCGCAAAACAATAGGCAGTCATACATTATTTTATTCCATCCATCTGCATACACATCACACTCAGGCTTATCAGCCAGGAGCGCATTAAGTAAGGTAGGTAAGGTAATAGTGCGGGCAAACGGTGGTGCGAAGAGACGACGCGGATGGTTAAGTCGGTGCCGCGTATATCGGTCAGGAACGTACAACCGACTAAGTTCATTGTGTAGATCTGGAGCATTCATAATACCACGGATTATTTTGATGCCAATCGATAGTTGGTTCCTTGTCCTACGCGCTCTAAGAGAATTTAAGCCAAGAGTGCCCAAGAGAAATACAGTTGGGTAAAGGTATGGGTAAAAAGTATAAATGCGTTTATAAAGATATCTTAGAAATGCCTTCTGAACCTTCTCAAGCAACAGGGTATATGTGCTTTCGTGGGGGTGCCACACGCAACTCGCGGCTTCAAGTTTACTGCGAACAAGTGCATAGTAAAGAATTTTAATTAATTGCGTGTTCTTAAAATCGCGACAATTTCGAAGAACAAAACCGAGACGTCTAAAAGATTCTTTTACCAGAGATATTATATGATCGTGAAACGTAAGTTTGGTATCAAACATTACTCCTAGATCCTTGGTTGATTCCACACGCATAATATCTTGATCATTCAGTGTATATTGATGACGCGTTTTTGTCATCTTTCTTCCGAAGGTCATGACGCAGCATTTTCCTACATTAAAAAGCATTTTGTTTACTCTACTCCATTCAGATACTGAGTTTATATCATTTTGTAGTAGTTTACAGTCTGACTCAGCTTTTATTTCCAATGCCAACTTTAAGTCGTCAGCGTACATAACACATTTTGCATTCTTAATGACTGTGGGGAGATCATTCATTATGATCAAGAATAGAAGCGGACCTAGTATTGAACCCTGACTGACTCCAGAACGTGTATGGTAAGGCCTAGACGTGTAGCACCCATATTTTGCAAATTGTTGGCGCTCTCGAAGGTAGTTTGAAATTAAATGAAGGAGCCGCGGAGCAAAACCAATACTTTTAAGTTTTCCCAGGAGAATATCGTTATCGACCCGATCAAAAGCTTTTTGATAATCAAAATATACAACGTCGACTTCAGATCCATTGTCCAGACTTTTTGAGATGTAATCTACTATTGTTAACAAATTGGAATCGACCGACTTTCCTTTCCTAAAACCATGTTGTTCGTTGCAAAGGTATAGATTAATTTGGTTATATATTTCGTTGTGAATAATACGTTCGAATAATTTTGCAGGAGCAGGTAACACCGCTATAGGACGATAATCCTCGACAGTAGACTTGGTGGTTGACTTTGGGATAGGCGTCACCCGTGATATTTTCCACTGAGCGGGGTACTCACCTGTATGGATTGCTGTATTTATAATATGGCATAAAGGGGGAATCAAATAATCCTTAAACATTTTAAGAAACAAGGGTGGAACAGAATTAGGTCCGGAAGAACTATCCACTTTTATTTTATTGATTGCTCGTTTAACGTCATCCTCATTAATGTTTAAGATATTTATGTAAGCAGTGTTTAATGGACTAGTTGTCGCCATTGTATTATTGGCATCTAAGATAGGATTTCCAGGTAAAAATACACTAGAAAAGAACTCAGCAAAAGCTTGAGCCGCTCCTGCTCCGCTATAGGAAATATTATTGTAAGATATTTCAGGTTCGAATGCTGCATTTGACCTAAGGTTAGTAACATATTGCCAGAACTGTTGAGGTTTGTTTTTGAGATTACTCTCAATACGTTGCGTATAGGACTGATAGGCCTTGCTTATGCGACTTTTAAGGCTTGCTCTTAATTCGGAAAATGATTTGCGCATATCGTCTGATTTTAGTCGTTTCCAAGCACGATGCAATTTAGTTTTAAGTTTTATATCCTGAATAATATCCCTGTCAAACCATGGTGGATAGCAATCTGTCAACTTATTTGGCCTTATTTTTTTGGGAACAGAAAGATCGAAGACAGTATACAATATTTTATAAAAATTATATGTAGCGGTACTAATATCTTTCGATTTTGTGACAATGCCCCAGTCAGTGTTCAGGAGCAACTCTTCCATTTTTGAGTAGTCCGCCTTATTAAAATTCCAATCTTTAGAAGTATTTACATTACTAGGTTCAAGTTTAAAAATAATGTTTTTATGCCTTGCAAATCGCAGACCGATATCCAACGGGGGATGATATGAATCAAGAGGTACAATACCACCAAATTCAGATAAACTAACCTTAGTTACATCAATGCACTCCTGGACCAATACCACATCCAGCTTACTTCCATGCAAATTAGAAATATCATTCATCTCTTTCAAACCACAAACGGACAAAAAATAACAATAATAATTATTTACATTTTTAGAGGCACTATTCAAATTAATGTCACCTAGTATTATGACTTGACCTTTCAAGTTACATAGAACATCTTCTACTTTACAAAACCAATCAAAATAAATATCATCAATAGCACTGGGACTAATGTACACTACACATATAAAGATAGTCTGTCCTTGATAAGCAAACGAGACCCACATGTCTTCGCCATGTCCAGTCTCAAGGTGATGACAGCGTTGCAGGATAATTCCAGCTCGTGCAGCAAGTAGAACGCCACCTCCCAGCGAGACACGATCCCGTCGTCTGATACTCCATCCACCACACAATATCTCACTGTCTGGGACTGAGCTATCTAAAAATGTTTCGGTAACGGCGACAATATCATGTTCCATTAACATTAGATTTGTTTTCCATGTTTTAAGTTTAGTTTTTATTCCACGAACATTTTGGTAAAATATGTCCAAATCTATAACTGTTTGCTTACGACGACGAGGTTTAGTAGGTTTAGTTTCTTTGCTTGGGTTGCTGATCGCGTTCTTTTTGAAAGTTAGTTTTTGAGGCACGAAATGTCCATGATTTGATTCGCGCGTTAATTGGCCAGATTTCAGAACAGATACATTCTTCATAATATTCGTCAGGAAGGACATCGACTGCCTCAGTACATTTTTTTACCGCTTGGGGTGTAGTATCTATAGGAGGTTGTGCTGGTTCAGACTGCAACTTTTTGTGACATTTACAACGGCAGGATACCAAGCTCTCGTTTGTTCGCTCCAAGTTTGGGTAGCTAGCTACCATTTATGTTTTGGGTAGCTAGCTACCAAAGGATGTTTTTTTTAAACCATCACCCCATCATGTGGGTTATCGTTGAATAGGTCATCTAAAATTACTTAAGGGTTCCCAAGACAATTTTTTTCGATTTAGGGATTCGTTTGCGAAATATTGAACTTTAAGATGCTAATATTTGTTTGAGTGGGGCACCACCCCCCCTCTAAAAGCTAAACTATTGGCTTGAAAAACCTGGAAAAATACATGAGAATAGTGCATTGAATGAACTTTTAAGGAAAACTATAACGGTTAAGACAGATTTGTTAAGCCAGAAACATATTAACGTGTCGTGTCGTGTCGTGGCGCGCCAGAAGCACATCGGTTTCATACATTTACTATGGTTAGAGACATATTTACGTGTCGTGTCGTGTCGACGCTCTAACCTCTCTATCTCTCTCTAACCCATAATAAATGTATGAAACCGATGCGCCACGTCACGCCACGACACGTTAATATGTTTCTGGCTTTACATTATGAGTAATAGTTGTTCAACTTTGGTTATAGTAAATTCCTTCGCTATTGAAAATTAAAGAAGAAAAAAACAATAAATCAAGTTATTGCAACGTAAAACCTTGCATTGCAACAAGATATAAAAACAACCTTTTAAAAAAACACAATAAAATATCATTAGTTCCACAACGCTACCTCGAGTACCAACGGCAAAGGCTTCTGAGTCGCATTAACGTTTTTATAAAAAGTATGTAAGCACTTGTAAAGGTCAGCGGTTATACCGCATCAACCCCTTCTCTAGGGATGATGCGGTTAGGCCGTACGGCCATAAAATTCAAAATTCAAAAAAAAAAATCTAAATCTAAAGAAAATATAACTAGAAAAAAAAAAAAAAAAAAGCTAAAGCTTAAGAATAGCTAGAAAGAATTTCGACGCGGTCCGTGAGGGCCGCGGTAGCATAATTGGTCAGTGCATTCGCCCGGATTGCGAAGGGTGCGGGTTCGAGTCCCGTCTGCTGCCTGGTCCGCGTGGATTTTTTTTTCTAGTTATATTTTCTTTAGATTTAAACATCAAGCAGTTACATGCTTTAAAAATAATAAAAATTATAACTATAATTGCTATTTCTTCTTTCAAATGTTTAATACTTGTAAAAGTATTCATTTGACATTGTGGGTTTACCTATAATGCGAAGAGATGGCGCTGCCTTGCAGCTTAAGAATAGCTAGAAAGAATTTCGACGCGGTCCGTGAGGGCCGCGGTAGCATAATTGGTCAGTGCATTCGCCCGGATTGCGAAGGGTGCGGGTTCGAGTCCCGTCTGCTGCCTGGTCCGCGTGGATTTTTTTCTAGTTATATTTTCTTTAGATTTAAACATCAAGCAGTTACATGCTTTAAAAATAATAAAAATTATAAAAAAATCTAAATTCAATATTGTTTATTCAGTCTAGGCTGTTACAAGCACTTGTGAATGTCGAAGAGCTACGCCATCGGTTCGCAAATCTATGGCGGGAGACCTTGTACGGAGAAGAACCGACAAGGAACTCAGCAAGGGCTGTTTTTTTCTCCCTGTATTATATACAGAGTCGTCAAATTGAAAAATGACTTCAATATGAGGTAACTCATAAAGTCATTTTCCATAAGCAAGAGCTATGGGTCTGTTTAAGTTTTTTTTTATTGTAAGGTCCGACAAATGACTCCATCCCACCAGATGTTAAGTGAATGTCCAGACGTGAAGATAGCTGGTAAAGCAGTTCTACCTGCCACATCCTCCCTTCCCATCCTCACCTTGCCGGCCTGCATGTTGCTTCTTCACGTCTCTTTTAAAGGATCCTAGGTTGTAAGAAGGAGGGAACACGTGAGCAGGCAGAGCATTCCATTTACGGATAGTACGACAAAGAAATGAGTCACCAAATTTCTTTGTACGCATTGGAATTGTGGTCACAGTTAGACGGTGACACGGAAGGCCAGCGAGCGTGGTCCTCTGAAGGAAAAGGGAAGGTGGAATAAGAGAGAATAACTCCTCAGAACACTCGCCGTGGTACAGACGATAGAACGCGCTTAGTGACACAAAGTCAGTAAGATCTCTACTTTAATCATATATTTTATGTACATGTTTGTTACAGGCTACTCTGGTCCGTGGGTGAACTCTGAAGTGTTGGCTACAGCTATATCCATTCTGGTTGCATACGTCGCTCTCAGGAACAAAAGCAAAATACTCGCTTAGATAGACACTAAGAAAAAGTGATTTTTTGTTAAATTTTAAAAATAAATTTCTTATTTATATTAACTCAGTGGATTTCATTTGTCTAATCGTTTTAATTGAAGCTGCTACTTCACATGACTCCTTGAGACCTTAAGCATGATAATAATCTTTGAAGTTTACAAATAGAACCATAGATATAGTTACAGATAGAAGAAAAATGTAGGGCTTGGACCTCTGTAGGCCTATTCGCTAACTGCGTTTGACAGATGGCAATGATAATCATTGAGCTATTTAGTGATCTATTATTGCTTTATTATAATGCCACTAAGATAATTGTTCTGAAAGACATCGATAGACATGTGATTTTCTCATTAATTCACATTGTAAACGTCAAAAAAGTAAGCGAATAGGCCGGCTGCTCGGTGTCGAAGGACCATTTATAAACCGGCCAAGTGCGAGTCGGACTCGATCAAACCTGAATTTTTAAAAATATTTTTTTATTATATTGATGTCACTAATAATTGACAGTTCTCGCAATTTTTCCTTTATCTGTACTATAAGACGTTACTTCGTACCAAATTTCAAGATTTTAAGTTCACGGGAGGTACCCTGTAGGTTTTTGATTCCCGTGCGAGTTTCGAAAATTTGCGGCATAAACGGCTGTATCTTTTGATTGCTTTGGCTTAGAAGTAGACCCGTCTTTCCCAGTGGGCACTTTAGGCAAGTGACCAGGGCCCCGCGATCAAATACAAAGTCGCTAGTTCCTGTTATATCACCAAACGGAAGTCATAAGGGCCCCATTATCCTAATATGCCCAGGGCCTTCAATAGGTCAAAGACGGCACTGCTTAGAAGTTATAGTTTTTTACAGCTCCAAGGGACAGTAGACCTGAGTATTAGATATGAATTTCAGTTTTTATACCACCACACGTTCACGAGAAAAACGGTCCTGACAGATGGACGGACGGACGGACAACAAAGTAATCCTATAAGGGTTCCGTTTTTTCCTTTTGAGGTACGGAACCCTAAAAAGAAAAAAACAACAAACTAGAATGTTTTTGTCTATGCTAGTAAGTCTTACCACAGACCACAATAACTTTGCAGAGTGAATAATCTGGTCACACCTGAAAAACTTGATAAGCCAATTTAATAAGATATAGGGGTCTTTATGGATTGTAGCAGCGCTGCATGACGAGTCACGATCATAAGCCAATGGAATAGTAAAGGAACCTTAAATATCCCTAAATAAATGTTCATTCACCTTCTGACTATCGAAGCGCAGGCTTAGGAAGATAAACGTCGCTACGGCGATACAGCAACAATAAAGAAAGTTCAATTGGGCGAACTCCATTAATAATTCCATGCACCATGCATGGCCTCCATGCCATTATGATTTAAAAAGTATAATGTCAAAAGTAATCAGCTGATTGTTGTGACATTTGACAGGTCCACCCGCACGCATTGTGGTCAGGTTATGTTTATAAAAGAAAATTTAAAAGATTTGAATCAAGGTAAAAATATAATAAAATGACTGTGAAACCTAGAGTTATGTCGGCAGACGAAGATGATGACCCAGTGGAATCTATGTTAAAGAAAACTGGATGTTTAGAATTACATTACAAAGTTCAAGTATGTATCTAGGAATAAAATTCATAACAAGGTGTATTACTAATGTCTTTGAAGTCCTTGGTGTCCAATCTTAAGAATCTATGTTCATTATTATTATGTTTTTGCAGCTGCATATTTATCTTGTTTATATAAATTTTATGAGCTTTGAAGTATTTTATTATGTGTTATTTCATAGCATAACAAACTGCCTAACCTATGAGGATTAACACATTATACATGCTTAGATTAAAACAAAAAGGGAAGATACGCCACTCACGGCTCAAATGTGATCGGCTTAAATTGTGGTGCATGACCATAATTGCATTTAGTCACAATTGGACATTCGAACACGCTGCATTGCACACTCAATATAATAATATTGCGTAAATTCTGTGTAACGAAGATAAAACAATGTCTTCGATGCTTTATAAAGAACAAAAATTGTTCTAAATCAAGTAACAAATGCGTCTGCAACACTTTTAATTCGTAAAACTGTAAAAACATGGTTTGTCGTGAATGTTATTTACGTAATCACCATTTTGTTATCAGGAACAGGACAAAAATATGTTGCGTTGAAGCGTATAGTTCTGTCTCGCTCGCTCGATTGAATGTTTATATACAGACATGTGCGTGTATGTGAGATGCTTATGTAGTTGAGTCGGATCATATTTTATTTGATGCTAGTATGAGCATACCGTATCTACCCTTTTTGTTTTAATCTAAGTATACATGTTCTACAATAACTAGGTTTACTTCAAAAATTGCCAGTTATATTAATTATATTTTATAATGCTACTGTTTTGTTCTTTCTATAGGAATGCATTGCTTCTACAAAGGACTGGAGAAAATGTCAAACAGAAGTTAATGATTTCAAAATTTGTATTGACAAACACAAGCAAGAAGAAACTTCTAAAACTAGTAAATAATTTATTTAATTTAGACTTAATAATGAAGGTGTACATAAATATTTTAAATTAATTTTGTTGTGTAAATTTTTTAATTTATCTGTTTACTTAAATTGAAATATTTAAGTTATTATAGTACCTATGAACACACATTTTATTTTTTATTTCGTTTGGATGAAAACTGCTTTTAATCAAAGCAAGTGTCAATATATGTAGGTAGGTACTAATATGCTAAATCATTACTAAAGTTAATCTCATTACTATCTATAAAATAAAAGGGATAGCAGAAAATTATACAAAGCCATAAAAATTAAGAGATTTATATATACCTAAAGTTAAAAACATATGTAATATCTCAGAGCATTTACAAAATATTGCTATTTTATTGTTTATTGATTCTACTGTAAATTATAATATATAAAACAAAATCTTAGTTGTAATGCATAAAATAAAACAAAATCTTAGTTCTAAAAGTGTAAACACATAAAAGTTATAAAGATGATTTATTAAAAAAAGTGCTGATGTTTACTTGTTTTTCCACTCTTTCAAGCTTTATTTTAACTACGAGAGTTGTTCGTCCGTAGTCAGTTCCTTTTTATTGATGTGTAACATCTTTCCTCTCGCTTTCCTGCAATTTGTGGGAGCGATTTCGTGAAATGGGAAGGTAGTGTGAAACAGGAATTCACGAAAGCGCGCGCTATTTGATTTGATTTTAGATTAAAATGTTAAAATGGCTTTTTTTTCTTTTCTTAATGGCTTCGCACGGTTTGTGCATTTAGCCAATGTCAAGTATTAAAATGTTTACAAATACTATAACACTCGTGGTCAAAGTAATAAATCAAGTCAAAGTAAGTGGCAGTCAAGTCAACCAGGGGGGTTCCCTATGTTTCAGTAAAAGTGTGGGGATTTACTGGAACCTCCCCGTGGACTTCTTGAGGGAACGTCGAAAGACACTTTCCGCTATTTTGTTTCACTTGCCAACACTTGTACATGTTCCCGAACACTTAGTGATTAATAATCCACCATTATTAGACACTATCATCCGCAAAAACACAATTTTTAACAAGAAAAACAAAACTGCTAAAGTTCCGCTTCCCGATCCCGCCAAAAAGTGCGTTCAAATGGCTTATTCCTTTTGTAGTTGGTTTTATTTCTTTTTTGACTAATAATACTAGCTATTCTTAAGCTGCAAGGCAGCGCCATCTCTTCGCATTATAGGTAAACCCACAATGTCAAATGAATACTTTTACAAGTATTAAACATTTGAAAGAAGAAATAGCAATTATAGTTATAATTTTTATTATTTTTAAAGCATGTAACTGCTTGATGTTTAAATCTAAAGAAAATATAACTAGAAAAAATTCCACGCGGACCAGGCAGCAGACGGGACTCGAACCCGCACCCTTCGCAATCCGGGCGAATGCACTGACCAATTATGCTACCGCGGCCCTCACGGACCGCGTCGAAATTCTTTCTAGCTATTCTTAAGCTGCAAGGCAGCGCCATCTCTTCGCATAATTGGTCAGTGCATTCGCCCGGATTGCGAAGGGTGCGGGTTCGAGTCCCGTCTGCTGCCTGGTCCGCGTGGAATTTTTTCTAGTTATATTTTCTTTAGATTTAAACATCAAGCAGTTACATGCTTTAAAAATAATAAAAATTATAACTATAATTGCTATTTCTTCTTTCAAATGTTTAATACTTGTAAAAGTATTCATTTGACATTGTGGGTTTACCTATAATGCGAAGAGATGGCGCTGCCTTGCAGCTTAAGAATAGCTAGAAAGAATTTCGACGCGGTCCGTGAGGGCCGCGGTAGCATAATTGGTCAGTGCATTCGCCCGGATTGCGAAGGGTGCGGGTTCGAGTCCCGTCTGCTGCCTGGTCCGCGTGGAATTTTTTCTAGTTATATTTTCTTTAGATTTAAACATCAAGCAGTTACATGCTTTAAAAATAATAAAAATTATAACTATAATAATACTACTTTTTATAATAATTTAATAATAATGTGAGGTTTCGTATGCTTTCCAATTACAGAGCTTAATGCGACTCAGTGCCGCACAATGCCCAATTATGCTGATGCTTAATTGGAACGTGAATTAGTTTTCAAATGCACCAGCAGAGTGCGCTAAGTTCAGTGTTGAAAAAAAAAGCCAATGTTTGAACCTTCATCCATACTTATATTTATTTTTTAACAGTTTGAATGAACTTCGATTATTTAAAAATAGTACATTATGATACGCGTGACCTCGCTCCGCTCGGGCGCTAACTTCACGCCGTGCAGTAATAGGCAACTTAGGCCACAAGTATCGTATACTATTTTATAGCAAGTGTGACATAAACCCGCCCCGGACGCGGGCAAGAGGGGGGGTTCGGGGGGCCGGGTCTTCGCAAAACGAATTCGATTTATTCTCTCGTCGCCATTTTTTAAATGCATTATACGTTGCTGTATACAGCCGTTTCGAATTTTGGGGCAACAAATTCAATGTCACCGACTTCGCCACTTCTTTAATTGCGTCCGGAACAATTTCACCGTTCTCGTATTCGCTTAGGTCACTATCCGAACTGGCCATTTTCGACCAAAAGATACAATTCTCGCGGAATGAATTATAGCTAACCGTTTCTCCTTGTTTTGGTTGTCATTGAAAATTCCTAACCTATCGCTAATTTGTCATTTGTTTGCTGTGAGTTTTTAAGCTCCAAATGACATTTAAATGTGTTTCCTTTTATTTTTTCTACATGAGTGAAGTTGGTCAATTCATTTACACACCGTGCAGAAATAGGCAACTTAGGTCACGGAAAAGCGTGCGTAAAGTGCGGGTTTAGGTCACACTATTTAATGAAACGAAAGTTTTGATATTTTTTCAACAATAAATAATATTACTAACGATAACATATAAATAAAACATTTCGATCAATGCCAACTTAAAGAAAAAACACTTGTTAATTTTCTGTCTCTAAGTTGGTACCATTGCACGCATCACACGAAAGCATCACTTTTGAGAGTGCTCAATTGTGCGAAGCGTTGCTGTAGTTGGAACACTCAACGTTAAGCATTATGCCGCATAATGCGCTTTAATGCTGTAATTGGAAAGCAACCTTCATAAGCTACACATCATACGCGACTTGTGTAAGGCTCGCTCGTTTTTTTTTCTAACTCCACTGAAAATTCATCAAAATCTATTAAGCGGTTTAGGCGTGATGATACACAACCAACAGACAGTTTCTAGAGAGTTTCGTGGAAATAAAACTAGCATGGAAGTTTATTTCAAAAATAGACGGCGACATTATTATAAAGCTAGGTCTCCACGTAGCGACTTTGATCGACGGTGACTCGCTAGCGATTCATGACTTATGGGTCTACATTGTAGCGATTTTTTAGTATACATTTCGCAGATATAATTATATAAATTTAGTTACAAGAGACCGACAATGGGACTATATGGAAATCTAAACCTAAAATCAGAGAGGAAATTTTAGTTTAGGTTTAGAGAATTGGTATTCTGAAATTACATATATAAACTAAATTAAGAACACAGTTGACAGCTGTAAACGAGCATGTAAATTGAATTCACAGATTAGGTAAAAGCATTGAACCGGTAATTATCGGTTTACTTAAATTAGCAATAATTACTTATTATTCAGTGATTTTGACTTATTTCAGTAGTTCATTGTTGTTCTTCATAATTTTTGAAATATGGAAACTTAAAATAAGTTTGTTATTTTACTGCATGACAAATTATGAATCCATATTATAGAGTGAATCACTCTGTGGTACTTAGGGATTCTAGATTTGGAGTGTTTATCCTTATTTTGGGGGAAAATAAGAACTAGGAGTAATTAAATCTGCGGGCAGAACTTTAATAATCATATTTTTTCTTAGAAAATGCCAAGTATTTGTTTTGGCAAAAGGATGGGGAAATCTACCACTTTTAAAATAACATTAAAATATAGGTACCAACTAGATTTTGGTACCTAACAAATCTATTCAGGATGATCAGTGACGATGGACCGTGTCGAGTCCTGAGGCGATCTTCAGTCGTAGCATGGTCACCGAGCCGATCTGTAATTTACAAAGTGTCTCGTCCGAGCAAAAACGTTTATTGTTTTGTCTGAGGTATCACTACGATTGACCGGCGGCACCGCGCCGGCGCTGTATTCATGCAGCGGGCCGTGGCAGAGCCGAGGCGGGACCAAATTTTTTCCGAGCGTTGTTTCATTTGTTGCTCGGTTGTCAGTTAGTTACCGCCTGGTAGTCAGTCAGTTACCGCCATAGCATGAATGTAAAATAAATTATTTAATATAAGTTAACTAGAGGAGTTCGATGGCGCAGACGATTAGCTCGTTCGGCTGCGATCGTTGAAGTTAAGCAACTTTCGCAGTGGTCGGTCATTGGATGGGTGACCAAAAATCTTCTATCTCGAGTTCCTTAGTGCTTCGGAAGGCACGTTAAGCCGTTGGTCCCGGCTGCATCTGCAGTCGTTAGCACCCGTCAATCCGCACTGGGCCTGCGTGGTGGGCCATGGCCCAATCTCCCTGTTTCATCTATAGGGAAGGCCTGTGCCCCACCAATGGGGATATTAATAGGCTGATGATGATTAGTTAACTCTGCTACCGCCTACACGGTCTAATGTGAATCATCCTTGAAAATTTCTCGCATCGTAAATTCTCAATCCAGCGCATCTATCTATTACCTACTCGTAGGTACCTACCTACGTTTATAAATTTCGGTTTCGGTAAGAGGTTGTAATTATCCCCTCGGCTGTTTTGTGAAGATTTTATTCTCATTTATTGTATAATCCGAGATGCGTAACCTATTTTTATCTTTTTTGTTTCTATCAGTTTTTGGCGAGATCGTTCCAAATCCCAATTATTCATTTGGTGAAGAGGCCAAGTTTCGGATCTATAAAAACAAACTTTTCAATTACAAACAGTAGGTACTTATTTCGTGTTTGGTTATTTTAAGAAATATGATTAGCTTATAAAAAGTTGGAAGTAAAAACATTTCATATTCAACAAATATTAAAAACTGCTTCATAGAAACAAAACCACCTATAGAATTAGTACATAGATTTCTTATCTTTTTAGCTTGTTTTTATATGAAGTGGATTTTTATTTATGTTATAAAAGATTTTACCTTAAATTATTTAGTATTTTGTACAAGATATACGTGTACATTACCTACGAAAGACCACAATAGAGCAAGTGTAACGCTTTCGTTCTGCGATCGTGAATGTTAAGCAATTTTCACAATGGCCGAGCTTAGGATGGGTGATCAACCCAATATGTATTTTTATTATCGAATTCCTATGTTGCTGCTCGCTGCATCTGCAGTCGTTAGCCCTCACTAAGCCGCATTAGGCCATGACACATTAATATGCTTTTAATAAATCCGCATCGAAACATAGACTTAACTATCATTTTAAAAAAAATAAAAGATCTAGCTAATATATTATTATCTCCGTCGTCGTTCATTATTGTATAAAATTTGTCTTTTTTAACGAAATAAACCCATGTCCAACCTTAACATCAAGTTCAAAACAGCAATCATTTACGTGATATTTGGCCTCAATTATTCACATTTAAAAGAGAGGACCTCCGTAGGTCCTTCTTAAATTTAGTGTGACATTTCTAATTTTAGAGAAAATATGACATTTAGAACGCGTTTCAGAATACCATTTAATCATCTAAATCTAAGTTGAATAACTTAGCGACGTCAATTTTAAATTTAGAGATAGTGTGTCATTACAGAATACGAAATTGAATTTGACAACTCCATATCTAATTTTAGTTAGTTTTAGATATAAGTTGGAACGCCAGAATTGGGCCCAATATTAATGTAGCTCCGCTAAATTTCAAAATCCAGCCACGTCTACACAGCAACGATGGCGCTGGCGACTATCATGCGACTTCGACTTTTCAGATTTGCAGCGATTCGATCGCTGCATTGGCAGCGACAATAAATCTCTGCTAATATTCACGTCCACACATTGATTTTGACATCGCCAGTGAGTCGTTATCGATTAAAGTCGCTACCGTGTGGACCCAGCTTAACAAATAAAGTAATAGCTTCAACACAAAATCTGTGATCCAATAAATCATGCTTCGTAAATGTTTCATAAAATATCATAGTGTTTACCTGACACTGACATTTTAGAGTTGTAAGTTGGTTGTAAGTGAAATCAATTATTAATAAATATAGAATCGATATTTTTAAACTTACCGATTTTTATTATTTTAAAGCATGTAACTGCTTGATGTTTAAATCTAAAGTAAACTAACTAACTTTACCGATTATTATTTAACTAAAAAGATTAAGGCTACATACTTTACTTTTTATTGTTAGTCTAAGTCACGTGAAATACATAATCAAAATTCGTCCGTTTATCATATTTTGGCCGGCAAATTATTAAAGAAGTATATTATTTTTCAGAAGAACAAATATTTATTTTTAACCAAGGGAAGACCGCCAGTATTTACTACTTCACCAGTTTAGGATGTAAGATAAAGGTAATGTCTTTACTTGTGAATCTGCTTGTTAAATGCCGATCCTAAATTAACAGCCACGGTGGATTATAATGTTGGTTATTATATTTTTAAGCATGTAATGCGAAATTTATTAATTAAAATTTTTACTAGCTGTTTTCTTTTGCATGCAAATACAGGGGTCTGGCCTTCGAATATGATTTTGCCCCTTTCGGTGTCGAGATCCTTGGTCCGTAGGGTCCTAGCGTTATAAGGTTTTTTAAGAAAATATCAAAAAGGTTAGTCGACATAGATAAAGAATTAATTTAGCTATTCAAAGGGGGAACGCTGCTAGTATCTTCGTAACCTTGCCTAAAGGGACTCCTTTTAATAATATATTTTAGTTATAACTAGCTGTGCCCGCGCTTTATTAGGGATATTTTCCCGCAATAAAACGTAGCCTATGTGTTCATCCAGGGTGTCAGCTAACTCCATACCAAATTTTATTAAAATCGCTCCAGCTGTTTAGACATGAAGTAGTAACAAACATACACACTCACACACTCACAAACTTTCGCCTTTATAATATTAATGTGATATTATATTTTTTAAGGTTTTTGGTTTAAGGTTCATAGTTCCTGTATATGTACCAGTATGTATTGATATAATAATACCAATGCACGCGTTGTTATTACTTGAAACGATATAAATATCTAAGTATTTATTGAGCCCAATTCTGGCGCGATTCTCTAAAATTAAAACTAAATTTAACATCAGTCTCTCCTTTTCATTCTGTATAGAGAATGATAAGGATATACTGCTGTCACCCACCAATCCGAACTGGGCCCGCGTGGTGGGTCATGGCCCAATCTCCCTATTCCATCCATAGGAAGGCCTGTGCCCCAGCTGTGGGGAGATTAATAGGCTGATGATGATGATGATGATACTGCTGTCAAATTTAAGTTTAGGTTTAGAGAATCATGCTAGAATCGACACCACCATAGCACTTTTGGATTATACGTTATGTAATTTCTAGCCAAAGTCATTCTTTAGGAGAATAGTGGACCGAGGACGCTTGGCACTTTTAAATAAGAGTGCAATAATTTTAATTATATAAGTAATTTTTTCTATCATACTAAAATAAATATAAAATAAAATTGAATTCTTGTCTCAAAAATAAGTACATATCAATTGTCATTGTATGAAGATAATTCAATTCAATTTTTGGTGATTATGGCTGCGTCTCATTACGTGGCGATTCTGCCAATGTCTGGGTGTATGAAGATAAAAAATACTTATTCATAAACCGATTATTTATATCTACCCAACCCTATGACAATGACATTTTGCTGGTTGGGTTGTTCCGAGTTGCCTTCAATGTTTGTTTTTTTGAGGTTACAATAATGTTTAGAAAACTTAATTTGCGCTACATTTCGACCATTCATGCCAATTCCGCAAACAGAGTGGCCGTTGATGCAAATTTGAGGGATAGCTTCGAGAAAAATGAATTCAAACCCCGCAAGCATCCCGGGACATCCCGTATCAAAACCGCTAGCATACCTCCTGTTATAGAGAAGGCTATTATGATAATTTTAAAAGATACTAACGCAAAAGCAATGCACCAAGAAAGTGTGGAACTAAATAATTACATAAAGTCGAGACTGCTTCCTCCGGAGGACACTGACATAAATCTAAAAGCTGAAAAAGTGTACAGTAGTGTTTCAAAGCAAATGACACCAAATAAAGAACTAAGTAAAGACGAAGAACAAAACTTGCAAAAGAAAATACAATCAAAAGTGTTTAATATTCTCAAAACAAAAGTTTACAGATGGGCAAATATTTCTTTTGACAATCCAACCTGTTTGCAATATCTTATGATTAGAGCTGCACCGGAGTATGCGATCCTGGTACGAATTTTAGACGAAATAAAAAGAAAATTGCCAGATTACAAACCAAGAAGTTTCTTTGATTTCGGCTCTGGTGTAGGGACTGGTACATGGGCAGTGAACACGCTATGGCAAGGTGATATTTATGAATACTATTGTGTTGATACCTCAGCACATATGAATGATTTGGCGCGGCTTATACTGTGTCACGGGAAAGACAATGTGGAAATGCCGCTGAAAGGATTCTACCAACGACAGTTTCTTCCTGCATCATCGGATACAAAATACAACATAGTGTTGTCAGCATTCTCCTTATTCGAAATGCCTAGTATGAAAAGTAGACTAGAAACATTACAGAAACTTTGGAGGAAAACTGAAGATTTCCTTATAATCGTAGAAAATGGTAGCAATGCTGGTTTCAAAATTGTCAACGAAGCTAGAGAATTCATTTTGAATCTTCCGAAAGGGAGAAATAGTGGTTATGCATTTGCTCCATGCCCGAATGACGTCATATGTCCGAGATATTTAGAACATGAAACGCCTTGTAATTTTCTTATGAAGTATGAATCATTACCATTCCCGTCTAAGAAGGAAGTTATGGCAGATGTATTCTCTTATGTTATTTTAAGGAAAGGTGAACGGCCGTCTGATGATCCTCAGTGGCCTCGTATAGTGAGAGCACCAATAGTACGATCCAGACACACTATTTGCAGATTATGTACAGCACAGGGTGAACTGAAAGAGATTATATTTTCAAAGGGCAAATATGACCAGACTACGTACAGGTGCGCTCGTTCAAGTAACTGGGGTGATGAGTTGCCTGTAAAATAAAACTTATAGATCAGTCAAACATACTTTTACTAATAAAACCTTTATTCCAAGGAGCTCGGTGAAGCAAGTGGTGAGCGCTTACGGCTGCGATTGTTGAAGTTAAGCAACTTTCACAGTGGCCTGTCATTGGATGGGTGACCAAAAACGTACTATCTCGAGCTCCTCCGTGCTTCGGAAGGCACGTTAAGCACGTTGGTCCTGGTTGCATCTGCAGTCGTTAGCACCCACCAATCCGCAATGGGCCCGTGTGGTGGGTCATGGCCAATCTCCTTTTTCCATCCATAGAGAAGGCCTGTGCCCTAGCAGCGGGGACATTAATAGGTTGATGGCGACATATTAATATGTTTAAGGCGCTTAGCAGACGACGGGGCGGGGCGGGCCGGTCAATTTCGCCGCGAATAATAGCACAAAGTGAATCCTATACTTCAAACGCACACAGAGGGCAAAAAGACCGCGCCGCCGGTGCCCGGCGGGCAGTGGCGGCGCGGCAAGTCCGCGGCTGCCCGCCGTGGATCATACAAACCAGTTTATATGCAGTAACGCAGACGGCGGCGCGGGGCGGTCAGCTCAGTCCGCGCCACGCGCTTCTTAGTGATGGACTATTCACTAGAATGAACGTCCTGAACTGACCGCCTCTGCTTTGTGTACGCGGCGCGGGCAGCCGCAGACATCGACGGGCAGACACGGTCTTTATTGCTTCGCGGACAAAATGCCCGCCCCGCCCCGTCGTCTGCTCAACGCCTAAACATCCATGACTGAAGTACAAATGCTCGTATAGGCGATACCTTGAAACCCGGCGTACAAACCATTCGGCCACGGAGGTCATCGATATATACACTTGCGATATATAAAATATCACTCGCGCCTTTGCCTGCCCTGATTCAATCCCCTACCCCGTGGAGACCTGGAATCTTACTCATGGACACAAACACAACACCGCTAAAAGGTAGTGGTAGTTATTTTGATGTGGTCTTCTGTAAAGTGAAGGTTATACTTCAAACGGCCGCTCCAATTCAAGCGTACCTTGTAAGGAGGTAGAGTTTTAGCCATTAATGTGAGCACTGCCGGATTTAGGGGAGGGCAACCGGGGCGAAAGCCCCGGGGCCTCCACAAACGAGATAACGAGCCCCCACAATAGACTTCGGAAAAAAAAATCTTTCAAATTCCAACTAGTAAACATCTTTTCCTTTGATTTTTTTTTTGCTCTTTTACCTTTACCTACAGCCTACAGTACTTTGTACAACTAACACATGATTATTCAGGGCCAAATTTAAGGCAGGGCAGGTGGGGCTGTGGCCCAGGGGCCTCCACAACAGCTTAAGAAATAACATTTCGATGGGTCAACAAGCGTGCAAATTCTAAGTTGCCCGGGGCCTCCACAACAGGATAAAAGATAACAAAATTTCGATGGGTTAACAAGCATACAAATTCTAAGTGGCCCGGGGCGTCCACAATCCTAAATGTGAGTGTGACTGTGGCTAATAAGGCATATTATTATTGTTGAGTGACTTGCACTGGTTTACATTGTATCACACTGAGGTTCCCAAGTTTGATACGTGGGGATCATTATCATCATCAGTCTATTAATGTCCCCACTGCTGGGGCACGGGCCTTATCTATGGATGGAATAGAGATTTTGGGCCGTGATCCACCACGCGGGCCCAGTGGCGGGTGCTAACGACTTCAGATGCAGCCGGGACCAACGGCTTAACGTACCTTCCGAACAGCGTTGCCAGACGTCCCAAGTTTAGCGGAATGCCCCTATTTTTAAATCAAAATTAAATGTCCCGCGCGGACAGTGTCAATCCCCCTTTTCGGGAATAATTCGATCGTGCGTGCAACCTACTGAGAAAGCGCGAGTGGCACAGACAAGTGTGGACTGGCCACCTGCCCGGCGCGTAATGAACAACTCTTCAAACAGAGACTCGACTATTTAACGATAGGGTAAATCTGATTTAAAATATCATACTTTTATTAAAATACATTTTCTATAGATATTTTTACTGGGTACCCTAATAAAAAGGTAAATATTAAAAACTTTTGATTATATACGTTTTCTTTACATAATTACGAGCCAGTCCCACACGCCCCCTCCACACACGCACACTAACACACACACATACGCACACACACCTCACACATGCACATAAACACGCACACACACACACACAAACTTCACACATGCACATAAACACCATACTCACAACCAACACTACCATATTCCATATCATTCAAAATAATATAAATGTAATTTTAGATTTTATCGTTGTTCTCCTTTTTTTTTGCTTGAACACTTTCTTAAGCGGGGAGAGGCTGGTGCACTGAGACACAGGCGTCAGCTTAGTTTGGTCACCAGTCTCTCACAATCTTAGACCTAAGTTTTTTAATCTGTTACTCATGAAGCATGTATAAGATTGTGGAGAGAAATAAAGTTTATTATTATTATTATTTACTGTGTCCCGCTTTCGACGAAAAAATCCCGCTTTTTTCCCTCTAAAAGTTTCTGAACCCTGAGTTGGCAAACAAAAACTCTGGCAACGATGCTTCCATAGGAACGGAGGAACTCGAGATAGAAGATTTTTAGTCAACCATCCATCATTGCGAACGCAGCCGAACGCGCTCGCCACCTGCAGGCCAATTATGCTCGCTAATTGGACGTAGTTACGCGAAAACGTTCCAACCCACAGCGACCCCATTTTGAGATAAACGCAATTTTGTGTTTTAGCGGTACACTTTTTCCCTGTAATTATTTCAGGCAAATACTATTGGTGTTACTGTGGAATGCCAAACTGGTTATTGAATGATATGCATATTTTTTGTAAATACATAATACAAGGGGCATATAAATAGGTAAAACGAGTTTGAAACGTTTTCGCTAAATTTAATTTTGTATGAACCTTGTTAAATAGCAATTGTGCATAAACGTTCCAGAACGAATTTAAGTGTATTATTTTATAAATATATCTAAAATAAATATGTAAAATAATAAATAACAATGAAGAACATACAAAAACAACAAAAAAAAATTGAAAATGTATTACAAAAAAAATAGAACGTGATCTTTTGAGCTTAGAACCTATGCCAATTTGCTGATATGGTTCCAAAAGTTATCAAAAACTTATATTATAAACATTCAATTTTCATCATCGTATTCTATGATCTCGAAGTCCGGAACTCCACCAAACCCATCAACATCATCAGTGCTTCTTCAGAACTTTGAAGCGTTCTATAAAATTGAAGGCAATCCACTTCCTGTGCACCTCTTCTACCTCTCCTTCTACCAATACATAACAATGCCCAGTATCATTAAATGCACTATGGATACCACTATTGTAGAACTAAGTAAAAAAGTTAAACCTCTTCAAGTTTACAAAATGACAAAGACTGATTTTTTTAGTACAACTAAACTGGAAAAGAAGATTATCAATAGGAAGAAGTTTACAGACTCATCTAAAGTTAGTTGGCTACATACAAAAGAAATTAAGTTGGATAAAGATAAAATGTTTTCTATTTTTATGCGGTCTACGATGGAAGACGATTTCAATGAGTTGAAAATTGATAAAAGAATAAAACGAGAACTGCAATACATAAAAGAATCTGATTTTTGCTTATTGTGGCCTAACGACAAACCGATTGCTCCAGCGAAATTAGTGGACTTACAATCCATGTACCACTACATACCCGAGGATTGCCTTCAATTTTATAGAACGCTTCAAAGTTCTGAAGAAGCACTGATGATGTTGATGGGTTTGGTGGAGTTCCGGACTTCGAGATCATAGAATACGATGATGAAAATTGAATGTTTATAATATAAGTTTTTGATAACTTTTGGAACCATATCAACAAATTTTTGGCATAGGTTCTAAGCTCAAAAGATCACGTTCTATTTTTTTGTAATACATTTTCAAATATATTTTTTTGTTGTTTTTATATGTTCCTCATTGTTATTTATTATTTTACATATTTCTTTTTGGTTTATTTTTATAAAATAATACACTTAAATTCGTTTTGGAAAGTTTATGCATAATTGCTATTTAACAAGGTTCATACAAAATTAATTTAGCAAAAACATTTCAAACTCGTTTTACCTATTTATATGCCCCTTGTATTATGTATTTACAAAAAATATGCATATCATTCAATAATCAGTTTGGCATTCCATAGTTAAACCAATAGTATTTGCCTGAAATAATTACAGGGAAAAAGTGTGTAAATTGCAAATTGGGGTTGCTGTGGGTTGGAACATTTTCGCGTTACTACGTCCAAATATACCATAGTTATTTATTTTGGTAAAAAATATCTTTTTCTCTAGAACATATTTAATAGCAAAAATGGATCAAGTATATGTGGATTGTTTATAGCAAAAAATATGAAAATAATATATTATAATAAAAGGTTTCAATTTATTTAGAACAGTGTTCGCAGCTTAAAAAAACAGTATGGATTAATCTAAAGGGTTTCAAATTACATGGAACATTTTTGCAGAAATAAAAAATGTATAAAGATTTTGCAAAAACGTTCCAACCCACATGGATCATTTAAGAAACCATTAAATGTGCGTTTTATGAATTTAGTATAATGTTCCAAGACAAGTGGAACATTATAACGATATGTTATTCTATTAAGAGTTTTTAACAATATGTTTCAGTATGCATGTAATGTTTTTACTTTATTTTGAGTACACGTCCTTGGCATAATGGTGGGTTGGAACATTTGGGTTAAACTTTATTGATGAAACTAACTTAAAAATACTAGCATCTTTGTGTGCACATGATGTAATATGGCAAAAATAGTACCCTGGTTATGGTAACTCATTTTCGAGTGACTTGTGGGTTGGAACGTTTTCGCGTAACTACGTCCAATTGTGATATTGTTTTGATGTCTATTTCACATTACGTATTATGCTCTCCGAAAAATGCGATATCAAAATGACATCAACTTATGCTATGATGATGATCAACTCTATAAAATGATATCAACTTAAATGCGTATTACATTCAACTTTTTGACTTAAAATAGTATCGCATAAACGTCAAAAATGTGATACAGGATATGATATTGATATGATCTTGATGTGACATAGGAATGTTTCATAACACCATATAAAAACAATGTCAACTTGGCATCAACATCATATTGACATCACATTAGAATTTTATTACTGAAGCATAATTGACCCACTGTGCCATCGTGCTCCAACTGAGGATCTTAAAAAAGTAAGCACAGTACCTACCTATTAGAGTTCGGAGTTAAAATCACAAAAATATATAGTCCTCCCCCCCG